ATTTGAACTACTTCGAAAAGGATTTTGCTCTTTGATATCCTCACCAATTTCATCCAGTCATTTTGGTGGTTAATTCTCATTAGGGTATTTCTCTTTGCTCTCTCATCAACTGCATGTGCACTATCACACTCCATACCACCGATCAAGAATGTATAGTTTATTTAATTGATTTCAGGCATGTACAAAAACACGAGGGCAACAATATTATTTCTGTTCGGGCCAGGACATTGATTAGAATAGTACTTTATCTCATTAACATCCAGAGGCAAAGTTTTTAAACGACTTTAAGCACCTACCGTACGGCTTTTACCTACATCTACGATTTTCCCACAGAAAATGTAATATCCCTTTTTTTAGGAAACGAAGTAAATGGGTCCATGACAGCAGAAAATGTTGAGAATTTCATACCTTAATGCCGTAACCTCGAAAGAACGAGAAACGATTTTTCATCTACTTTAGAATGATTAGTGACAGTTTCGATGAAATTTTGAATCTCATCTCAAACATGAGAAAATCTGACACTAAACTACAGAGAAGCTACTTCAAATGAATGTTTGGCTGTTGCACTAAGGTAAGAATATAAGGTATTCAATTTTTATTTGCGAAGAAATAATTCCAATAATAATTTCATAAACATTTATTATTAAAACATAAAAAATATTTTTAAAACAAAACTTTTAAACATATTTGAGATTTACGCTAAGTTGTGTAAGTATTAAAAAACTGAACCAAATTGGAAGCATTTTCTCTTGTGTGTTCAAGAAAAATAGAAAGGCAAACATTTTAAACACAATTGAGGTTACAAAAGAGCCATTTCACATCAAATTGCACAAGAGTTGACCCGACTATTTTTAAAATTTCCCTTAAATCTGGACACCAAAAAAAGATACGTTTTCCATTTGCCAGAAAATTGATTATTTGTGTAGTGATGTCCATATTCAATTTTGGAATTTTCACGAACATCGTAAAATCTGATCGATTAATGCCATAAAAATTCCTGGATTGTTTCATTTAATACTTTGACGTGTATTTTATTCTTCAGTACATTAATTTTTCAAAAAAAACGTTTTATTTAAAATTTTTAGTTTTTTTCTAAAAGAAATTAAAATTGCTACATGACCTTGATGAGATAAAAATTTGAAAAAAAATATAGAAGTATTACTTATTCTCCATACAATTTAAGAAAAACGTGAGCACTGCGCAAATACAGTTCTAAACTAGTAATCCTACAGAATGGCACAGACTTTCCCGTATTAATTTTTTATTGCCCTAGGTCTCAGTTAGCTATTCGGACTTGCCACATACTCTTGCTAGCTTCCATCTATCCCGACCAAAGTACATATTTCTGACGTTTCTTAATATTTCGGTTTCCTAATTCTAGCGCGGAAAACTTATTTTAAGATTATTAAATAACAATACAACCTCGACATAAATGACAATTTTCTTTGAAAAATTTGGAGCCGTTTTTAAAAAACCGGGCTATAAGTGCTACTGTAAATTCGAAATTTATAGCAGAAACTTTAACAGAAACAATTTTTGAGTTTTCGAAAAACTTCATTTGAAGTTATTTGAAGTACTTATACTCACAAATACTATAGTGTTTACAAATTGCTGATAATGTGCATATCAAAAGCGTGAGAGATCTTAACAAAAAATACATTTGCGTAAGTTTTAAAAAAACAAAAACAAAAATACACCCAAATGAACTTTACGTCATATTAAAGAGTGCAATTAGCACTATTCGTTCGAAATTTTTGAAGATAAAAATAGGAATTGTTTTTGAGAAAATGGTGTTTGAGCATTTCTGAAAATGCGGAGTTTTGAGCTCGTTTTCACAGAAAACGGTAGTTTTCGAGAAACTTTATATGACACTATTTAAAGAACATGTACTCGAAAATACAAAAATTGGAACAAATTGCCACTAGTATAACTATTAACGACATGAGATTCAAGTCAAAAATTTCATTTTTGTACCTTTTGAAAAAACAAACGAATAGAGCAATATGGCGTTTACGTCATCTGATAGAGGACATTTAGCACAATCCCTACCAAACGTTTAAAGAGAAAATTTGGAGCCAAGTTTGAGAAAATTGTTATTGTAAATTTTTAAAATTGCACGCAATACTGTGCAAATACTAATATTTTTAAAAAAATGTACACGACCTTCATGAAAGAACTCACAATAGAGAACAAATTTTAGTTGAAGGAAAAATCTCTCTCATTAATGTTGTAGTTGTAATAAGACACCGAAAGAAATTTCCACTTTTGAAATTTTCGAAAATTCAGGGTTAACAGTGAAAATCGGTCCTTTGCCAAGTACATGTTACTCTATTCTTGCAAGAAATTTAAAGAAAAAATTTGGAGCGGTTTCGAGAAAATTTTGAAAATCTCCGGGGGGCCTCATGTAGAGTACCCCCAAATTTTGAAGAATGGTATTCAAAATCTCAAAGTTTCGGCTCGAGCTATATGGACAGGGGTTTTTTCAAGTTGGAAAAAATCCTACGCAAGGTTTAGGCGCAGGTAGTGTTCCCAGACACTACACGGACGGACGGACCGACAGATGTTTTGAAAAAACACTATCACTTTTTCGGTACCTGTCGCCCCCAAAACGTGTATTACAGCTAAAATCTCGAAATCGATATTCCGTAGCATTACACAACTTTCCCTATACTACGTATATTATTCCGTGTATACGTACGTATACGGTAAAGTAGAAATCAATTGCAAGTACGAGGGCGCACTGTACCTTCCCAAGCACTAACGAATTGCGTTCGGTATTTGATCCAAGAACAATAAAAAGAATTGCTGAAGAGCAATAAAAAGTATGACCGTCTACCTGAATAGGGTTTCAAAAAATATCTCACATGTTCACCCTGTCCCCAGAAGGGATGGCAGGCAGCGAAACGAATTCAACTACCACTATCCCTCGTATCTGCGAAACGAATTGTACAGAGTTTGTGTTTGTGTATATCATAAAAATATTATTTAATGATAGATGGGGCAAACATTTTTCGCCTAACAGAAAATTCTGCTGTGGTTGTTAAAAACCACAAAGACACATTGGCGTACATTACCTGCAACCCATCATCAATATCTTATTATTTTCAGGAATGTTCAAATTGCCCAGGACCTATCAACTTAATCAACAAAAATTAAGAGATTATTTGGAGCAGACGTTATTGAACAATTAACTTATAGACAGTGGATTACAGTTGATCACACGAATTTGGAGACTTTTCAATCATCAACAGATGAATTTTAGACAAATCCTCCGACAAACTTCTCTCTTTATTTCCTCGCGTTTTTATAGCTCAGCAACAAAATTTGTTTTTGATCCAATGCAAGGAAGAACTACAATTTGACAACTGCATTATAATGGTAGAGTTGTCTGACAATTATTCCTTCCTGTTCAAGATTCACTTCAAGGTGTGCATTGGAAAAATACCAAGCCACAATACATCCCTTTGTAAACTATTACAAAAAATAATGAAATTCGTCACAAAAGTTTTGTTGTAATTTCAGAATGTATAAAACACGACACTGCTTCTTTTTATTTTTTTCTCGGAGTTAAATAATTGCCTTCTTCAAACGGGAATTTTGTGATGTCAATAAAATTATTTACTTCTCCTATGGTTGAAGTGCACAATACAAAAATTAGAAACAATTGCCTTCGAGAAGGCAATTTTTTGCGACTTTGCATGCTGCGATGGCATTGGAGGAACTGTTAAGAGACTTCCTACATGCGCCAGTCTACAACCTGGTCAAGATCTAATTACAACGCTGAAGAAACTATTTGATTAAGCAAAAAGTAGTATTTCGAATATTTCGTTTATTTTTTGTTCTTTAGACAGTCATCACAGTGAGCACTAGGTTGGTATCTAGGTATCAAACTTTAAAGCCAAAAGCCGGAACATTAAAAATACATTCTTACACTCCTGTGTCACCAACTGAGGCTGTAGTGAAAAGATTTTCTTTCGCTGCAGAAGGGAGCAAGTATATTTGAAGTGAGGGACAAGAACATTTCAAAGTGTCAGACAAAACGTGCGTCAAGAATTAGGGATTGAATAACCAACTATATTCGTGAAGTTGCACTATCTCATGAAGAAACATTATTGCATTATCCAAAGGAATTGCTGGCCAGTAACTCAAGAAACATGCCTGTTGCAGCAATGTACTGCACACTGTTTAGTAAAATATTTGATATTTTTTGAAGTTACTGAGAACCCACTTTGATTATTTTCTGGAGTTGTCAGCCGCAAACTAGTTTTTAAACAGTTTTAGCTAATCGAGTTTACAAACATATTCAATTTTCAAAATTAAAAAAGAATGAAAATTTGGCAAAAGAAATATTTTGCAAAATCTAAAAAGATAAGCATGTTTTCAAGTTTCGAATGGAATTTAAATGGGTTTTCTATAATTGGTGTATTAAGATTTATGATACTTTAAAGTAAGTGATGCGCGTCGTTTTTAACAAATTTCAAAATGCAATATTTCCTAAAATATTTAAGTTGGAAAAAATTAAATAACCATTTCGATATATTTGCTTTCGTGGCTAGTTGTTGGTCAGCGTACTCACTTTTCACAACGCGGCCCCGGGTTCGATTCCCGGTGAGGCAAGACTATGGTATGCGTTTTCCTTGCAATGACCCAGTACATGTTGCAGTGTGACAATGAGAAAATTCATTTCTCAGATTGAAAAGACCGGAATACGGCGAGGGGATGTCTACTTGCTAACCACACGTACCCCCTTAACCCAAGTCCGCGAGCCAGGGACGTCGCCGGTAGGCCTGAGCCCGTTCACGGGCTGTCGCGCCAAGTATTACTCGCGCAACTTTTCTTGAACGATGGTTTGAAGAGATGCTGGTAGAGAGGATGTATTAGTTACGAAATTGGCCACTAGATTTTATGAGACAATGCCAATCTCTGAAGAAGCAATAACAGTTCTTAACTTTCTCAGGAGTTCGAGGTATCTCCTGTGACGTGTCTTCACTTGCTTCGGACATTTCTTTAGATATTTTGGAGAAAATCACGGACAGTTTTCTCCAGAAAATTGTTTATATTTCGCGTCAGTGAAGATGTGTTTGGAATGTTATCAGTGCTAGCTGCGAGCTTTTGTCCTCAACTGTTTCTTGTGCCAGAGAGGGGGGATGCAACGTCATATTTCAAGAAAAGTTGCGCGATTATTATGTACATACACACGTTAACATATCTGATCCAGATAATATACAGACAAAAATATAAAGGTCATATTTTGATCTTTTTTGTGCGATTTGACGTGGAATGGCTCAAAAGTGAGATTTACTCTCAATTATGTAAGACCTGGACAAAATTTGAAGTATTTTTTCCTGTGTTTTCGGTCGGGTCAGATGCACGTTCGAACCCGAAATAAGTTATTCAACCTCTGAAGATTCAGCGCTGGGATTAGAATAGTAACTTTGTGTACTATTTTCATGTGAAGGGGTAGAACTTGTTGACGCAAGTTCCTCTAAATGCAAAAGCTCTTGTTCCATGATCAGTTGTGCAATTTTCATTTTTATGATGGCTTGCCTTTGCCTGGAAAATGTTTTCACCGTTTTTGCATGAGCCAAAAAAAGACAGTCCGTTGCATCGCACTCCGTCTCCTGTTTACTTTCAAAATATTGTATAATTTCTGACACACAGGATGGCGATTCCGATCGACGTTTTCTACCGAGTTTTTGTCTCCTTGATGCATCCGTAGCTGGGGCACTGATAGGAATATCTGACACTGGTTGTAATATCCGAGGAGGAATATCTGCAGAAATAACCGACGAGCGAGTTTTCGCTGTAATTTCTGTATTATCCGTTTCTACAACATTTTCTGCGCCCGCTGCTTCATCAACAATCTCTACAGATTGTGAGGCATTTTCCTCCGTAGAATGCGAGTTTAAATTAACATTCTCCGAGTCAGTTTCCGAAACGTTCGACGTGGTTGTTGCAAATGCCAGGTAAGGGAGAAAGGCTTGCATCTGGTCTGCCCACACCCATTTCTTGCCACTCTTCGCAGCTTGTCCCGTTTTCGTTTGAGTAGATCTCATGGATTTGGCAAACGTGTCTCTTAGGTTTTTCCACTTCTTTTTCGCTTCTTCACCTGAAACAAAAAAACAACTTTATTTTACAGGTTTCTAGCCATCGGTGGCTGTTTTAGCACAAATGGCCAAAGCTTTCGAACGGGATTTTCAACACTGAGTGCAGTTCTGACAGAGGTTTGCCAAGCTATATGCAAAAAATAGAGGGAACTGAATCTACGACGCCAATTTGGAATCAATCCGCTGAAGAATTTAAAAATTTGTGGCGATTCCCTAACTTATCACAGTATGGTAGGTAAACATGTCAGAATCAAGTGTCCTGATAATAGTGGATCCCAATATTGGTGCTATTCGAATACATTTTCAATAGTACTCATGGCAATTGTTGCGCCAGATTACAAATTTATTGACATTGGTGGATTTGGTAAGAACAGTGATGGTGGTATTTTAGAAGTTTCCAACATGGGAAAAAAGTTTCAAGAACGGCCAATGAATTTTCATGGGGCGAAAAATCTGCCAGGTGAAAATGAAACCTGTCACACGTTTTAATCAGAGATGAAACGTTTGCATTAAAGTCTTGCTTAATGAGACCGTTTCCATACAAACACTCTAGGAATGATTTTTGAAAAGAGAATTGTTATGTACGATTGTACTGCAAGATGGTTTATGAAAAATTCCATCGACATTTTGGCACAGAAATGGCGAATATTTTATAGACCAATAGAGACAAAAGTTTCAACTACAATACTAACTACTATACTACAATACTAAAGATGACGTGCATTTTGTATTACTTTTAAGAGATAAAAAAATGCGATGACCATTTCTTTGAATTTTTAGAGCCGCCTGAACATGTTTTGAGAGCTTTTGCTAATTTACAGAATGATCCAAAATGTGCAAAAGCAATGGCATTTCAAACGCGAGAACAGTTTGTAAATTATTTCAATCCTCAGGTGTAAATCAGCCAATGCTTCCACAAACTGCTATATTTTTGCATTCTGCGATCTCTAGTACGGACTTCGAAAATAAGCCATGAAATTGTAAATATGAGTAAAGTTGACATGTATTTTTGAATAAGTGTCAAGAAGTGGTTTTCGCATCTTTATTACATCAGTCTTTGGAAGTTCACTACTGATCAAAAGTATCCGGACACGTCCAAAAATTGTGTTATGGTGTGGTCGTGTTTTACATGGAGGAGATTGCACCCCATGTTTTGTGTGGCACGTTGATGTTTTAAACATCTTCCTTCCCAAAGTCAAAGAGCAATTCAGGAATTGCATCTTGATTGCATCATTCAACACGATCGAGCACTTATTCATACTGCACGGCCTGTGGCGGAGTGGTTACACGACAATAACATCCCTGTAACGGACTGGCCTGCACAGAGTCCTAACTTGAATCCTATTGAACACCTTTGGGATGTTTTGGAACGGCGACTTCGCACCAGGACTCATCGACCTCCATCGATACCTCTCCCCAGTGCAGCACTCTGTGAAGAATGGCCTGCCAATCCCCAAAGAAACCTCCCAGAACCTGAATTGAAAGTATGCCTGCGAGAGTGGAAGCTGACATCAAGGCTAAGGGTGGGCCAACACCCAATTGAATTCCAGCATTACCGATAGATGGCGCCACGAACCGGTAAGTCATTTTCAGCCACGTGACCGGATACTTTTGATCACATAGTGTACGTACTACTTATATGCTATATGAATAAAGCACTAAATACTCACCAGTTTCGTTGATTTCCTTCCCAATTCCATCCCATATCTTGTCCTTCTTACGAGTGTTCTTGTAATCTTCGTGCTGCAGGTCATATAAAACTGGAAACCTTCTCACGAGCTCTATCAGATATTCAGCCTTCGACATGGTGCGCACAGTCCTGCCAGGGTTCAACGGGAGCGGCAGCGATCGAAGCGCGTCCGGCCGTGAATGGAAATCTGCAGGTAACAAAACGCTGCCAATCCGCTGCCGCGCAGGTCTCGACTTGCTCATTCGCCAACACGTGACGCTAACAATTGCCTGCTGCGGACACTCCGCGTGGGCAGCGGTTGTACGAAGCAGCAGTAAGAATAACAGACGAGGCTCAACAGACGAACATGTCATCGACAAACGAGATGCCCGCCGAAGAGTTGGAAGCCATAGTATGAAGATGACGCCATCATGAATGCACCCGATTTTTCTCTCTCCATCCCTCCCCTCTCTCTCTCACCCTTACAGCAGGGCCCGGCAACTCTCCATCAAAATTGGGGACAAAGCTAGAGGTTGATACTATAGGATGCGCTAGTGTCGCCTGATATAGCTGCTGGTAAGACTCACCAACTTTCGCACATAAAAATTGGTCAAGAAATACGAATACACTTTGATTATGAGCGATTTCTGAAATAAATTACAAAAGAAGTTAAATACTACGTGTTTATCTTCTAAAATTCATTTATTCATAATAATACACGCATGAAAGAAAAGGTAGCGCGAACAGCGTCGCGATCTTTTGTATCAAACGCGTGCGTTTGCGTCCCGAGAACCCACGCACGTTTTAAATAACGTTGGTAGCAGATCGTATTTTAGTTCGTGTAAGAAGGTGATGCTCTAGAGCGCGCCACTGTAATGGTCCCCACCACGTTATATGGGAGTTATAGGGCCCTGCCTTACAGCAACTCCGGATAAAAAACACCATCCGCGTTCCACCTCCGGATTTACAACCAAGGCAGGGAGATGGAGCAGATATGCAAATGTGTACTGCCCATTTGGAGTAGTGGAGTCGTTCTACCCGTTTGGAGCAACGAGTCGGGGTTCTTTATTTTGAATCTAGACATCGATAAAAAAAATTAGACATTGATTAAAAGAGTTCTAAAAATGGTTCCCAACTTTCATTTCACCCTCATCCTCCATCATCTATTATTAGTATTAGTTGGCCAACCTAGTTGAATTTAGAATATTAGGCAATTTCATTTTCAATTTAGAATATTAAGTAAGTTCTCTTTTTTTCAACGGGCTCGCAACAAGGGCGACCAAAGTAGCTTTCACTTCGAGATCTTAAGCAACGCCCCTTCCGGTAATAAGCCTCTCTCTCCTCTCCTCGCTCCCTCACTCACCCCCTCCGCCCCTCCACGCCTACCATCATTTCGACGACAAAAACTTGCTTATTATAATTATATTGAAACATTTACTAAAGAAGCAAATCAAAATGAAAACTAATTAATTAATACAGTTAACGTCCTATCAGAAATCGCCGGATGGGAAGATCCAGAACGGTTGGTATTTGCCCTTGCAGAAATCGAGGGCACTACCAAACGTTTAGTATCATTAGCACCCGATTTCGCTCATATAACGACATGGACCGATTTCCAAATTGCACTTCGACAACTTTTTACGCCCCAGGCCGACTTTTCCAACGCAATTTGACGATATTCTAACAGCACAATGCTGCCTTCAGAAACTCCAAAACAAATCGCGATTCGACTATACGAGCTTGCGAATGCATGCACCTCACCCCATTAACGAACAATAATTAATTAGACAATTTGTATTTGGCCTCCCTTCTCACCCAACGCCGTGCAAAAAGCTAATTCAAAATCCTGTTTTGAAGCGGCAAACATAACAGAAAATTTATTTCTAGAAAATTATTCACAGACCCTTTCATTAACAAAAATCAACAAAAACTTTAGAATCAATTTGCAACACATTAGCAACTTATCCAATTTTCCGACTACTAAATTAGATCATTTTTTAATCTGCTCTTTCTGCGCTCAACCAGGACACTCCACAACAAACTGCCCGCACCACAGCCTGTGTCAACATGTTTTCCAAAAGATTCATGCTCATTGAGCATGATGATATATTTTATATTATTTATCATGGTGGCGAAATGCTTAATGATAATTTATATTGTTTATCTTGGCTCATCACACCAGTTTGCATTACGAACCACCTGACTATGACATGGGCACATCGTTTGAATAACCAGACCACACGTAGGTCGCCAGATTGCATTGAGAGGGAGAAGTGTAGAGAAACATTTTGAAAGTGGCATAAAGTGACAATTTTCAATGATAATCAGTCAACCACTAACCAATCAAAATATACAATTGTGCTATTTTTATGGAATAATTAATAATTGTGAACATATTCAGAAATAATGCCTAACGTTACATAAAAATCATACTGCATCGTATTAAATTTAATCTTCTTTGCTATCATCATCTATGGTCAGCATAATTTCATCAGTATTACAAAAAATAACAAGTTTGCAGCTGGTTTAATTTTGTGGGACAGATACTGATACTGAGCAGATGACTGAGATAGTCATACTCAGATACTGAGCAGATGACAAATAATATACAATATCTGCTAGGTGAGAACAGCTTCGACAACAGCAATCACATGCATATCATAAGACTTTCCAGATATTTCTATTGTATTGTATTGTAGGCAAATGAAACATTAATGTTTTGCTTTTTTTTGTCGTGATTATACTTCGACTTCTACAATATTCGCTTTATCATTGAAGAAGCTAAGATGAATATTCACATCTTCATCTAACATTTTCCGCTAAATATGATATAGCTTGGGAGAATTGAAAAGTGCCTGTGAAAAAAATTGTTTAATTCTTTTTCACAAATTTCTGGAAAGTTAATAAGATCATCAGATGTCATGTTTTTAAATGGTACAGTTTTACAATTTTCATTTTCAATTTCTGCAGCAAGAGTATTTTCAACATCTTTCCTGACATTCATCAAGTTGATGATTTCTTCCACCATGCCGTGGTCGGAATTAAAACTTTTACCAAAAGTGTTATTAAGAAATCATGCAATCTTACAGAATAATCCTGCTTTAGGTAAAAGTTTATTATTGAGTTGATTGTGTAACATTATATATTTTTTACCACAATACATCATGGAGTGTTTTAACTGGCCAGTGAACATTAGTTACGAAGCGTGATTTATTCGATTCTTTTGTTGTCAATTGCTTGCACTTTCCTTTCAATGATGGCGTTAGCATTATGTAATCTTGGTCATCCAATTCACTTTTAACTACTTTGAAACCTCTGTCTAAAACAAAAATCTCTCCTCATTTCAGCAAAGAATTTAAACTTTTGACTCAATCTGTTTCAAAATAATTATCATCATTTTGATTGCATTATAATTTTTTCACATCAAAACACATCACAAAAACATGATTTGCTGCCCAAAATAATCTCCAATATATTTGTATGGTAAAATTATATGATTTTCATACTGAAAAGTATTTTTCCATAGAGAAGTAAACTTATCAGTTTGAGTTTTACGCATGTAAATGATGAAATAAGAAATACAAGATATGAGAAATGTTCCTCTTTGCGGAATAATGCAATTCAAAAGAAAAAACTTTTTCTGCAGTTCATGGAGAAACAAACAAAGCCATCACAGACTATCTGCAGCCATTAGGGACCAAAGTTTTGATTTGTTATACATGAAATAAGTGAGTTAATTCTTAAGATAAGCATGTCAAAATGTATATATCCCAACTACCTTTCAACTAACGTAACACCCTTCAGTTGTCAATTAGAGCGAAACACAAAATGAGTCTGTCAAAAAATTGCAGTTTTTGACTGCAGCATTACATCACTTTTCCTACACTATCAAGTAATTTGTGAGAGAGTAACTGGTGGTGTAATAGAATGACACAGCCATCATCCCATACTTCCTTAATCTCCCCAGTTTGGGCTCAAATTTTGGTTTTCTCTCCCAGATAATACCTACCACTGCCACCTAAGACATATTCATATTTTTAATTTTTCGGTTCCCTAATACCAACATATTTTTACAGAAAAATTTTGAGTTTTTGAGAAAGTTTGAAGCACATAAACTCGCCAACACAATAATGTATAAAATACCTGTAATGTAAATATTAACGTGAGAAATATAGAAAAAATATTGTCTTTGAAAAATCCAAAGAACTCAAAGTAGTGTTTATGTCATGTGAGTCAGTGTGTTTAGACCTATCCACACAAGAAAATCTTTGAACAAGTTTTTAATATTGTCCATATTTCATTCTAAATAGCACAATAACTACTATTTTCAAAAAAATTTCAAGACATTAATTAAAAAACGAAAAAAATGGAGAACAAAATTTCATTTGAAGCAAAAATCTCCATCTTCAATATTGTTGTTGTAGGAAGATTGGGACAAATTTCAAACTCTCGCACTTTTTGAAAATTCAGAGTTAACAGTGAAATTTGGTCACATGGCATCTTTGTAAATGAATTTCACTTCATTCTTACCAGAAATTTAAAGAAATATTTGAAGCCATTTTAAGAAAATGTTGAAACATGTCCCAGGGGCTATATGCCAATTACCCCCAAAATTTGATGATTTTTTTTTTTCAAAAACAACAGGTCAGGTCTGACTGAACGTGAAATAGCAATGGCCACTTAAGAAGGCATTTGTGTGTAGGTAGGCATGCATGCATGCATGCATGTACGTACGTACGTCCGTGCGTGCATAGGTGCGTGGGTGCGTGGGTGCGTGGGTGCGTGCGTGTGTGTGGATGTCAAATCAACCCCTCTTATACTCATTTCCACAGCAATAACACTTGGAAATTAATTTAAAACTGTAGCAATTGATTATTAGTTGTTTTTATAGAGCTATGTATCGAATTTAACTTTGCGCATGTGCTAGTATTGTATCAAGACAGGTCACCCCTGTTTTCTCAACAAAAATGTTTGGGAATTAATTAACAATAAATTACACTGCCCTACTATGAAAATGTTTTGAGCTGAAAAATATCTTATTCTTAGGTACTTCAACTTCCTGAATTCAAAAATCAACATACAAATAACCAATTAGCTCTTGTTTTGGAGATACAGAGACGTGCCAGCTTTTAGAGTACATTTTCAATTTGAGGGAAATTTTGCTTTTGAAAGTTGTCGCCCCCCGATCAACTGATGAAACATAATGTGTTCTGCTTGTTTGTAGGTTATAAACACAATCACTGTTGCAGTAACTGAAACTTTCGTATTGTTTCTGTGAAAATTAGTGTATGACTTCTGGTTTTGAAGTGCTTTTGAAATGTATAGCTTGTTAAATCAAAATACCACATAAATATGTAAATTCGGTGAATATTTTTTGCTACACCTGTAGTGGAATAACATCATTTTCACAGAAACGTAATCTCATATCTCTTGTGAAGACTGCCTATCACCATTATTTTCGTATGAAGGAAGGAAACCAGATAAGTCATGGGCTCTCTATGTGGCAACTCTTGCTATATGCTTAACATGAGGCGAAAAATCTGTACCAATCTAAAAGCCATAACTTAGAATTGCAACTGGGGCATACTAAAACTGCTGTTTTTTATGACTGTAGGATAGTTGAGTCAGGAAATCAATTATATTCACACAGGCTGGCCTGCAAGGAATCTTAATTCTAGCAAGAAAAATGTTGACCTCTTGTTGCTCCAAAATATTTGCTTCTTCCGCCCCTACATATAAAGTTGGGGATCAGATATAAAGTTGATGAAAAATGTTGTCAAAGCTGTGTACCAAGATGGAGTGGCGTTTAGGTAATTAGAGAAAGTTTTTGTATATTAAGTAATGCAAAAGTTAAGGAAGGTAATTTTGTTGGACCACAAATTCGACAACTTGTAAAGGTTCCTACGTTTGACAGAGTTTTGGAGGAGAAAGAAGATAATGCTTGGAAAGCATTCAGGGAGTTATTCGTGGATTTTTAGGTAACAAAGGAGATTAAAACTCCACTCGGTGGCGGTGTGTCTGCAAAAACACAACGAACTCATACGCAAAATGTCTGTTAAAATTAGTTTTCTCCTATGATTTTTTCCTCCTAGTTGTGGAGCAGTCAGAGATAAAAACTGAGAAAGATTCCATTAGGACATTTCTTTAATGGAACAAAGATACCAGAGTTGTTGGAACTAAGCAACGATTAAGGATTACTGCTAGTCTGTATGTAGAGATGCTCCGGAACTCAAAAGAGGGAAGTGAGAAGACATCGACCTCAAGAAGTCACCAAATAATTCTCTTCAAACCCAAAAATACAGCAGTTTTTTCAACAATTTAGAACTCCTTTATGTAACTGTCATTTAAAAATATTCAAATGCACATTGTAGACATGCATTATTAAAATGAATATCTTCTCTTAAACTGTTGAAATAAAATATTTCTATCTGTTGAACTTCTTAGAAACAATAGTTAACAAACATTTTTCATTGCCATATTTATTTTTCTCATCCTAAAATTAGTAATATTTGACTTATAAAGTGAAGGAAACATTCAAAAACTTATTTTTTTTTGTGGGCCAGATTTATGAGTGTATTTGTTCAGGTGTGCTGACATAGCTCAAAAGGTCAAATGAAAACCACTTTCATACCCACTCAAAAAGTACCAACACCTAAACCTTGTTTTTTCCGACTCACCTGGCAACTCCTCACATTCTTCAGTAGCATCGGAAACATCTTCCCTGTGCGTTGCAAAAGAGTCCTGCAACAGGACAAAACAAGTAATAAATCAGAGATACAATTAAGATGTTTAGTACCCTAATTCAATAATACAATCATCACAATTTTGTATGAGGTGCATCCAGAAAGTAAGTTCTAACGACCAATAAAGATACCAAAAACATCACTAAGTAATACATTTTCATTGGAAAATTAACATAGATTCACTAGCTACTTCTCAACATAGTCACCACCACTGTTGAAGCATTTATTGTCACGAGGCCCAACAATTGTGTGCCCAAATAATAGGAGCCTGCTACCACGAAGACACTTCAGATTTGCACCTCAGAGTCATTATGGACAAGATTTCCTGCCAGAAAACACTTCATAAGACATTAGAGATGAAAGTCACTCGGTGCGAGGTGAAGCCTGTAGGGTGGGGTCGAAGACCTCCCAACAAAACTAATTCAACACATTCCATGTGGCATTGACTGTATGGAGTCTTGCACCGTCATGCACAGGTGTAATGCCTCTTGTCAACATCCGATGTTTCTTGTTCTGGATCACACTCCTCAGAATTTTAAAAATCTGACAATACTGCTCAGTAGTTAAGGTCTCCCTTCATAGCAAGAACTTGCACTGAAGGGCACCATGTCTATTCCAGAATACAGTGCATATGATTTTTTTCACAGAGACGGTCTGCTTGAATTTAGTCATCACACGTGAACCTCTAGGATGCCAATGCATGGAATGTTGTTTAGTTTCGGGTGTGGAATGTGACGCTCATGTTTAATCCCCAGTGACAACTTGTTCGAGAAACTAGTCACTCTTCTCTGCATCTCTGTGTAGGAATGTGAATGCTGCGGCTTTGCTTTGTGTTCATCAGTTGCCTTGGCACTTGTCCTGCACACACTTTATGAAAACCAAGCCACCGGGAGACAACTTCATGCGACAGCGAGTGAGACAAGTAGAGGGGTTGGCAAGGGAATTCAGAAATTGTCGGCCTCTATGGTCTTCATCATTAATATTGGTTTGTCTTTCAGTGAATTGCCTCCACCATCATTTGACCATATTGTTGTGTACATACATGTGGGGCAATTGAAGATGGAGCTCAGATGAAGACTGCTTCCGAGCATATGAAAATCAAATGACTGCATGAACCTCACAGTTGGTAGGAGAAAATGTCGGAGCAGCCATTTTATTGTGGCACGGTGCGATAACTACTGCTGTTACAAGACTAAAACAGCACTGCATTAGTTTCACATACCTCCTCGCTACTCCTGTGCACTCCTATCCGACTACTCCAGCAACCACTGGATGCACTCACAACTTATTTTCTGGATGCACCTCATGATTAGCAATATAGAAAAATATTACAGGCAATTAAAAATTCAACTCTCACAACAATGAAATTATCAGATTTCTCTATTTTACTGAGATACCTCTTTAAATACAAAGCTCCAAAGTAAAGATAAACAAACGTGGACAAATTATTAGCCAAATCATTCTTTATATTCTAAATTATGACTTTAAGGGTAAAAGAGTACTCGCAGAATGGGGGAAAATCATATTTCTGAAATGAGTTGTGTGAATGTGTGGAAACAAAGATTTTGATGTTCATTTTAGTGAATAAACAGCAAATCCCAGTTGTAAGACACCCTGCTATAAGAGGATCCCATTTAAGAGACAGAATTCACAGTCGCAATGTCAGTTCTATGTAAACAATGCATTTATTTCCCGCATTTAAAACCGCCTATTTTGGACAAAATTCTATTCCCCATTGAGCTTTTGATCTAACTTGTGGTGCAATGAGTCAAGTTCATTATTTGAGGGATTATTTCAGTGTATGGATCAGGCAAAATTCATATAGTAAAAGGCAATAAAAATAGTGCACAATATAAAGAGGTCATCAGGTCTGCCTTGTTCTGGCAATGAATGTCGGTTTGCAATTGAGATGGAATTTTCACGCATGATGGTGCTCCTTTCCACCGATCAAAAACTGAAGAGAGAATTGTATTCTGGTGATATTTTCCATGTTTGACTGATCAGGATATAGCCCAAATATGAATCCCCAAAAAAAACTATGGAGTGTTCCTGAAACAAAAGTAATGGCAAAATATCCTACCACAAAGCATCAACTTGTGGAGTTCACCATCACAATTTGGAATGAGGACAAAATTGCTAAATTATGAAAAATTGCAATCAAGTCATACCTAGATGAATTAATGTTTCAATTCATGCTAATGATGGTCACACCAAGTACTAAAAAGTTTCCAGCATCTTCAATTCTATAGTTTAAGTTCTAATGTTTTGAGTTAATAAAGAGGTTTTTCTTTTAAATACCACTTGGATAATAATTTGTGTGCATACTTAACAATTTGCACCTTTAATTCTCACCTCATATTCTTCTGTAATCTCTTCTCTCAATTCTTGTTTGACCTCAAGAAACACTGTGGCTGGAGGCTCCAGCTCCTATACATCGAACAAAAGAATCATCAAACGTCTGCTTTTGCTTAATTAATTTCAATCAGTTATATTAATAAAAAAGCTGTTCATCTGGAAAGAAACCTTCATTCACAGGCATTTAAAACTAAACTAGAAATGGAGCAATGGATGTGAAAAACTCACCTCATCATCCTCTTCCTTGATCTCTCTGCTCAAGGAGCTTTGTTTATGAATCTCCTGTGACTGAAATCAGAACAGTACTCACAAGTAATACAACCAGCATTACGGTCGCCAAAGACAAAAACTTAAAGATTTTACATTATGTACAGATAATGGCTTTGAGAAAACAATTTATTAGTAACATGCGAAATAATTGTTTCATTAAAGTAGATAACAATAATAAACAGAAGTTTGCAGTTCATTCTGCAAAAGCCTACCACAAACACACACTGCAATTCTTTTACATACAATAAAACCTCTCTTTTACACTTTTCACGGGATCCTAGAAAAAATGGCGTAAATTGTGGGAAGTGTAAATTATTTTAAACTTCGAAACTATGAATACACTATGATGTATTTAGATACACACAATCAATAAGGCTTATAATGTGGTTTAATATGCAGCATTAGATACTTAATAAACAATATTACAAGGTCAAATAGATGTCTGAGCGAAATTTGAGACATCGGAAATTGAAGGTGTATTAACACCAAGGCGTAATGAATTTAAAATGCCGCAATGGCACTCTCACGAGTCCTCGCCATCCACTGATGGCAGCCTTTGATGATGCGACAATGTACTCTTTGTTGGATGAAGGAAGGACACTGGTATTTCTACTATAAGAAAAAAATGTAAAATTTACATTTTCTCAATAAAAAGTTTGTTTTCGTCAGTTCGTAATAATATTCGACGAGTATTTTTTTAAAATTTATTTATGAAATAATAGATAAGTGGGCTCATGAAACGAATTTACTGTTAAAAACGTATGGAGAATCCCATACTTTGATGTTATTAGAGGATGGGAAAAATATGTTTATTACAGGACGAGAATGTATGAAATTGGGAAGGCGAATGGCGTAAAATAAACAATTGATCGTGAGGCTCCCTTTCTTACGCCTGTGTTACATGAGCGTTGCGCTGACGCGCGTTACCAAACGCCGATGACGTCAGCTACGTGGAGGCCTGTGCACACGAGTCGCTTAACACGCGTCGTCGATTAACGTTGTATCGTATGCGAAACGGCCCACGAGCGCTCTTGGCGACGTGCGTTGTGCCCACAACTCAAGCTAGAACGAAGGTCAAGATAATGCGCGTTGTCTACCTTTCAACGCGCGACGCCCGTGAGGCGACGAACGTTGGCAATAACGCATGTTCCAGATGTTGGTGTGCCAAGTAGACTGTTGTAAATTGCAGGAAAAGTGAATGTGTACTATCGCAAAAGCAGGGTTTAAATATTGTTATGAATACACGGAAGCTGATGGGACCGACGAGAAATGTTGTAAATGCCGGTAAAGAGAAAATTGCGGGAACGTAAAAGCGGGGCTTTATTATACTTAACCTTTCATGATTTTGTGTAGATATATATTCAACAATATTGGCCATGTAGCTGCCTTTCAGACTATGCTTTGACAATTTATTTACGGGAATGAGTCTCTTATGTCATCACAAAAGTCGAGGGTACGAAGGGACAGGCACAATTCGTCAAAATACGGTGCCAAAAGACACGGCTGGAGGCTCCAGCTCCTGCCCATGAAACAGATTAACTACCAGGTTCTTTTGCGCTGTACACTTAAATTATGACATTTTATTTACTTATGAAAAGCCTGTTCAACCACAATGGAAATCTCCCTCCAAAGTGTTCTAAACTAATCCAGTAAAAGAGAATGGATGTGAAAATCTCACCTCATCATCTTCTTCCTTCTTCACTTCTCTCTTCAAGGAACTTGGCACATGGACTTCCTGTGAAAAAAAGGCAGAAGAGCAAATCGCAATTTGGACATTCAGTTAACATTTAACTGATTGCCAGGTATTAAGATCTTACAAAACGATGTTCAAGGGAATTTCTTAATCCTACAAATTAGAGAGAAACATTTTTTTTCTTAATAATGCTTCTGCCTGATCCTCAGACACAGGTAGCACAATGTTCACTTTTGTAATTTCACTCTATAAATTAAAAGTTGCATATTGACAGCAGTAGCAAAACACATTTCTGGTAATTTATAATAAAATACAATTGCCACTCTTTACTATTCTATATAAGATGGGCCATAAGTCACCTGACAAAAATGCTTTTTCAAACCTTATCTTACTTTTCATCTACAGGTGTCCACTTTCTTAGAAAAATTAGAGTTAACTCAAAACAAAGTCATCAATACTCTGCAATTGAATCAACTCAACATAGGTTCTTTAACTATATTGCTTGGAAACTTCAACTTCCATCACCGAGGTTCACACAATTATTTTCATGTTGCGAGCTTATTGAGCATTAGCGCACTACATTTTCATAGAAAATTCAATGATTTTATATTTCTGTATAAATTGATAAACAATGATATTGATTGTACTGCACTGTTATCCAAACTGAATTTTAATGAGATGCGAAATATGAGAAATAACAATAAAACTTTTTATATACCAATTGCGAGATCAAATCTGGAACAAAATGCACCTATATGGCGTATGAGTAGACTAGTAAACACATGTAATATAGATATATTTTTTACATCACTATCAAATTGTTCAGACTTAGCAAGGAAAAAATATGTATGCGAATACAATTAACTTATATTAAGTAAATATTAAATGTAATGTATATTGGGCGATTGCCTGTTTGATAAATAAATAAATTGTTATCTAATAGCTCTTCTGATCCATTGTTGTCTGTGACAGCTTTCTGATCAATTATCTGATTGAATCTTTGCAAAAAAGAGCAGTTTCTCAATTTGTTAATTCTTTCGGCTTAGATCTTACAATGAATACACTAACAAATACTACACTTAATTGAAAGAAAGCAATTGATAAAATAATAATTAATGGTTTCTAGTACTAATAATTAATTAAAATATAAATCTGAATCAATAATTATAAAACTATCAAAAAATTAATAATAAACAACTAATACTGAATAGATACTACTAAATATGAAATTACATCAAAAGATTTAGGATACAGTGACCACGATACACAAATTCTAACCATTACAAGAAAGGCGAATACTGAAACACTGACACAAATAAAGCATGTATGAGCAGATTGTTTACTAAAAGGAAAATAAAATTATTTATAGACTATTGCAGAAATCATTGTACCCAGTTTACAATAATGCTGGTACTAAAAAAATAAATATAATTCATTTTGTTGATACTTTCATTTCACTTTAACACATGCTTTCCTCTTCAAACTATTGAAGCTAAACAGCATATGCTTTCTCGCATTATTTGCGAAAATTCAAAGTGTTTAAATTGAAATAAATTGAACATAAAATTAAGTTCTGTATTCTCAGTGATCAGAATTCTTTCAAATTCAGTCAGTCTTCATACTGCTCAAGTATATTTCGCAAATGGTCATTCCCACCTGAGATATGGCAAAATATTCTGGAGAATCAAATCCCAGACTTTCAGATTACAAAAAACAAGAGTACGAATGAGAAGTAAATCCCACCCATGTTGTTCTTGTAAGCATCTTTTTATTAAGCTAGGAATTTTACCATTACCTTGCCTCTTGATTTACCAATCAGTGTTTTTTGTGAAAAATGATTTAGGTACTCAAGAGTAGAAACATAGTTTTAGCAAATACCGATGTCTACAACTATAACACTAGATATAGTAATCACATTCAACAGGCTACAGTATCAACAACGTACTACAAATATTTCACATACAATACATGTACATTATTTTACAACACTTTGCCACATGACATTAAATGATTAAAATTGATTCACAATTTTAAGTGGTAAGTAAAATCTTTTCTGGTACAAAACTGTTTCTACATATTTAGAGTCTATATCAAGAATCAAAAAAGAAAATAATATTAATTTTACAATGATATTTAATGTATTAGTTACCATTTGGACTGTATAATTCTGAAAGACTAAATAAGCAAGTTCATTTTTACTGCTGAAGGATGAAATAAAACGAAAAATCCTGTTCAGTCCATACAAAACAAAAACCAAATCACTTTCCAGTTATATATCTACAAAGTCATATATCTGTCAAATCATATATGCACAATCGAGTTCTATCGCAAAGATTTTTTAAGTTATTTTCCCTACCTAACTTTTTGGAAACCAAGAATGGATACTTGGAAAATTTTGGAGACTCACAAGACTGAAGTAAATGAGCAAAATTTTAAAGCAATAAGAACAGATGCAGTTTCTAGCACTCCACCTTTTTCTACTTAAAATTTCATATATGAATATTATTAGTAGGGCCTGGATGTTTATGACATATTTTTTCCTTTGTGTTATTTCCTTTGAAAACATAAGTTAAGCATAATTTTATCTACAATTACTAAAATTATACCATTTTCATGTGTCATATACAGACATATTTTGGCTTTTTTAAAAACCCTTTTGTCATTTTTCATTAATTTTCCATATTACGGGCATATTTTTCTATGCGTTTGCATATTTTTGTTCTATTTTTAATTTTTTAATTCCATTTTCGAATACTTGCTTGCAATTATCTCAAAGAGATTTATTACATCTAATTATTATCGTATTTCTTATAATAATTATTCTATGTAATTGTTGTGTGTGTCTATCCTATAAATGCATATGTACATGAATTAGGAGGGTAAGTTATATCAGAGGACAAAAATAAACTGTAGAAAGCTCTAGATGCAAAGAAAGTTTTAGTTTAGTTTTGTGTCAAGGTCAACTGCTTCTAAAAATAACTTTATCAGGTAGAACTCTCTTCATGGAGCACCAATGGAGAAGGGGTGAATTGTGAATATGCTATATTTTAAAAGTATATTTTCAATATAACAGTTATTTAAACTGTTGCGACACTTCTCAGAGGGGAGGGGGCGAGTTTGAGGGAGTTAGTGGGAGAGGGCAGGCATGCTGGGCAGAAGCCGCCCCCGACTTGAGATTTCACAGGCTGTCCGCATTCCTGGGACCGCTGTGGGGTGGCAGTCAGTAATGTCCTTTTTTTGGATGTCAGTGGAGAGGGAGCGAAGGGCAGTCTCGTGTGTGGGTGTCTCAGAGAGGCACTCTTGGCAAAGATGCAAACTGGAAAGGTTGCAGCCGAATGTACTCCGGTTACTCTTTCCGGTCAAGGAATTAATAAATTAATTATTGAAATACCAATTTGTGTTTACTTCATGGAGAAGAAGGAGAATCCCTCACGTAAATATCAAAAATATTTTGAAGGGTTCCAATATGTAACCAACATTTTTTTAAATCATATTTGTCATATTTTTGTATTTTTTACGTAATAAATGCTTGCATATTTCTAACATTTTTAGGACATTAACATCTGAGCCCTAATTTTTATAATACGCAACTTTCAATAGCCGTTTAAACACAAATTTAAGGTAGGCCATATTTTGGTAGCGCAGATTGCAATTTGGTGTTAATTGAACTACACTGGCAAACAGAAGCAAAGATTCAAGTTCTAAACTACAACAAAGCTAGCATTCTAGCTTGCCAACTACATAAAACATTATATAAGCTGGAAAATTCTTACACGTTAACAAAGCAGCATAATTAAACAAATCCAAAGTAAAAATCTCTAAGGCTACTTGGATAATAATCAAAAAGTCAGCATCATGTGTATTTAAAACCAAAATTGTTAAGCTGGAACTACATGACATTCCTGTAAGAGATGTCTGAAAATACAGGTACCTTAAAAGTAAGAAATTGATGCCTCATATCAATCAAGAAAACCAAATTCTTTCTCCCCATTACGAGTTAAATTTAAAATCCTAGAACACATGATATGTCATTACGCTGACATAATGGTATTTGTCATTCCAAATTGAATAGTACAACTTTGTTCTCAGATTTAATAAATTCTACAGCTTATAACTTATAAAGTTTAAGCTGGCCGTAGCTCAGTCAAGATACCAGAGTAGACTTTGCTTTATTCAAACTGCTTGAATTTCAAAAACATTTGAGTACTCTGCAATTCCTAAAATTGTTGAAAAATCATATGAAACTAATAAAATATGAGTTGAAATATACTTGAATTTTTTTTATGATGATTTTATTTTATATCCTAATTAAGTCATACTGTTTTATTAATTCATTCAAAGAAAAAAAAAGTTTTAGCACCTACCTCCCTTGGCTTTGAAAGCCCTCAATTGTTACCTTTTGATCATTTTATTTAACTCGTTTATTTAAAAGTCTTGTTAGTTAAAGTAGATCAATATTCCAGTATTGGAACCATTAACAGACAGTACATTACATTACTTTAACAATATTGGAACCATTTCAGTAACAGAACCATTTTAAGTAGACTTTCAGTACTCTAAACTATAAGCCCCCAAAGTTCAGAAAATCCCCTTACATAACCTGGCCTGCTTGTTTGTGTCAATGATACTAGACACAAAACCTTAAAGACGATATTCCCCCAAATTAATATTGATTATTGAACTGACTTAACTTGACTCTTAATAACATCAAAGGGAATATTTTAATTTAAAGTAATATTTTAAATAAATCTTACAACAAACACGACATTCTTTTCTCAAACATGGCTCCAAACTTGTCCTTTAAATGTCTTGTTCAAAAACAATGCAGTCTGCTTATAAATATGATTTAAGTTATTTTCCAATTTAGCTTCTGTGAAGGGAACAAGCATTACCACTAATCATCTATATCAAATCCAGTTTCCAATACTCTTTTACCTCTATATTTCAAAGAATGCAGAAAATTTGTCAAAATTTTTATAACACCACATATAGCAAAAAAAAAAAAAAAAAAAAAAAAAAAAAAAAACAACTGTATATGCATGCTGAAGAGAGAAATCAAGAAAATTCAACTCACAATGGGTTGAGGTTCTTCCAAAAAGTCTTCAGGTTCTTCTTTAATCTGCACACAAGAGAAAAAAGGCACTCGTGAACATTTCCAGAGCACAGACTGCATTTATTACTTCCCTACCTACTAAAACCATACTTCTATACATTAATAACACAGTTACTTGGATTTCCTTCAGTTTAATTCCAGAATACTAACCATATTCTACATCCATGCAAACTGTCCATCAAAATTTTCTTGAAGTTTTTCTTTGATGTTTAAAATCTGAGACCAACAATTGGGCATTATCTTTTATGATTTTATGCTTTTTAGTATGTTTGTAAGGAATATTAGTATGAAACATCAAATAAAAGATCATTTTGTGCTGTATTTTTATACCTTCAACACATTGTGGCATAACAATAAAAAGAAGGGACTTTAAATACACAAAATGCAATCTCTGAGAAATTATGTTAAGAAAGAGTAGTCAGAGTTTCTATTGATGTACCATAGCAAATAGATTTCTTGCAGGGAGGGGAATATGCAATTGTGTATCACCTTATTACAATGTTCTCTCTTTTATCGTGTGAAATTTGATAAAAGTATCATATACAAGTTAAGCATTTACTAAAGCAAAATTGAGTATTGGGAGAGAATGCAAAATGTCCTTGTTTTTCAGCCACAATTAAAATGTGGGTATATTTTATTTAAAGAGTCTACTATGTCTTTGATTTATGTTTATTGGAAAATGGTTCATCAGAGGATTTATCATGAATAATGCACACGAGGAACTATTTTGTTGGTTCTTGGCTTGATCGCTAAGTTGAAACTTTCTTAGAAACACCCTAAAATAACGATGTATAAAATTTACTCTGAATCTCATAAAATCACCGTTGACACGGGAATAAAATTACTCAGTCGGATCATTTCTTCCAAAAAAGTCATACCTTTCACAAACTTACAATCTCACTTCTGGAGGGCGGATTCCCTTAAGTGTCAGTTTCGCTGATGTACAAAACAATGAGGTTATGTAGTGAGGAAAATTTACTTATGAGTAGTATTCTAGTATTAAAAAAGGTCGTTAGACTTACCTCTTTAATTGTAATCAGGCTTTCTGCCATCACTTTTATTCCGTCCATTTCTGACGCGTTTTCTCCGGCTAAACATCGATGAGACACTCTGAAAAAGTCCTGTATTCCTTTTTCAGGAATTAAAATGTAAAAAAAGTATATTTAAGGCAAAAGGCAAATACTTTTCGAGTTTCCCACAGAGGAAATTTTCTGGAAGACTATTCCCTTCCATTTATGACGTTTCTTGATCCTGTCAATCATAAGGCTCACATCTGGGGACGATAACTTACGTGCGATTGCGTGTACATAACACATACATTTGATGTTCTGCTTTAGTGCTGCCGTCACAGGGTCGGCACATCAAACTACGAAGCGATGGGGACTTGACATGACCAGCATATCTTTGATAAATAATAAAATATAGTCGTTCAGTACGTTGTTCGATAAATGTAAGTTGATGTGATAATTAGTCTAATCGTCACATCAGATGAATCAAGGGTGTACAAAAGGAGGAAACGGACCAGTGGAACAAGTCTATTACACACTCAGCATTCGAAACGCCCGCGTAGTCACGGAAATTCAGCAATTCGAGACAACGGATATCTGGGTAGCTGACCGTCTGGGAAACCCGGTTAAATACTAACGGAGCCGAGCTCGTGAAGAAAGGATAAAAGCTGATTAACTGCGATGTAAAAATAAAAAAAAAAAGTAAAAAAATAAATGCCATATGATTAATGACATATGACTAACATGAAACATTAAATTTTTGAAATTAACTCTCCTCTCAAAACAACGACCACCCCTCTACAGCAAAAAAAGTATTTTATTTTTAATTTTTCGTCATTTTAACATTATTTTATCTGATTGAAAAATAAGAAAATGTTTGATATTTAAAATTAGTTTTACTAGTTCCTTCATTTTTACACTTTATTTAAAAATATTAAGTCCTGTATGTTTTTATTAGGCAGCCGTATACAGTTTATAAAATAAACTACACTTGTGTTACTTTATAACATTTTAAAATTGGAAAACAAACTCCTCACCCCAACAGACTAAAGCAGAAAATACCGCTGAGTCTACTTCGATCATTCCTGACTAAAGCGGATGTGGCTTTGCACATTCAGTTTACGTATACTCAATGTATTCATCTGTCAATAATGTTTCCTAAACAGTGCTAATATAATTCAATAGATCGTACTCGGGGGCTGAGGGCCTTCGGCCCAAACAGAAATAAATTAAAAAAAGAACCTGCCAACTTTAATGAGCTCGTTATCTCTCTTGCGACCCTGACATTCCTGCTGTGTGGTAAAGTGTGGTCACTTCAAGCAAAACATTTGTAAAATAAGAATTGGAGGCTTCGCACTGGCTTGAAACTTATAGACCAGCTTAGGTGTCTCAGGGCATCAATTGATGTTACTGCAAGTGCCTCTGACAGTACTGTTCCTAGAGTCCCGACGGAGTCAGGTTTTTAGCTTCATAACTAGATCGAATTCAGCCGCTGTCTGGAAGAGAATTCTAGCGCCCAACAGCTTAAGTGGTTGTACTTTGTGGTTTCTTCGATCAACACTAGGCGAATGCTGAAGGAATACACTAACAAACGAACCACAGACCGCGATTACTCCTTCGTTTTCCTATCCTCACGCCTTGTTTACACTCACACTTACATGCCCCACACACTACCCCGCTGATGGGAAACCCCTAGTTGGGAAAATCAGCAAGACGACGAAAAAGACGGCGAAAGATCTCGCCATCCAGCAGGGGAAAATTACAGTCACTTTCCGTGACCCATTGCCCCACACTTACGAGACTAATGACCTTAGCAATTGACGCGCCCGAAAACACTAATCAATGAATTGAAACCGCAGAAAATGGAGATTTTGCCTTCTAGTGGTGAGGATTAGAACACAGATCAAAACCGAGGAGCAAAACGGAAAAAAATAGCCTAGACGAGGATAAAAGGTAACTAACTAGTACGAGAAAGTCTGTGCCATTACAGCTCTAGTTACTTTTTCGTATACGTAGGTATATTGGAGCAAAATATCTAATGCTGCGGCAAGAGGTATTGTTTTCGCTTTCTCGCTACTGCTTACACATAATGGAGAATGTAGAGTAATGCTGCGGCGAAAAGGCGATTTTTCGACAGAAAACCTTTTATTCGCGGGCTCTGATCTCGAAAAGTGGATAAATCTGGTCCCTATATTCAGGATGACCGGGGAGGAAACGTCGACACTTCGAAAATAAGCTCTTAATACAATTTAAGCATATTTTATCTAACAAACTACTTGGATATTCCTAATGGCAAAGTCGCTGTAAGCACTCAAAAGTTGTTTTGAAAAATGTCTTTCTAGACAAAAAATTGTATTCCAGACGCATAGAAACACTTAACGTGTAAATTGTTTATTATTTACAAAAGAAATGAATATATTTGTTCGGAAAGAAAAATTAACCTAGAAATTTAAAAAAAGCGAGTCTGCGAGTTTGAATATTGATTTTTAAGTGGTGCTATTGTTAGTTATATTGATTTTTAAGGGTACACTATATGAATGCTGAACATTATCCAAATTTAAAAAAAATACCTTTAATTTGTTTCTTTAAATGTGTTGCTCTGGGGTCAAAGACGCTTAAAAAAATAGCATAGGTCACATTATCGTTGAATTCCCTTAAGTATTGAAAATTAATAAAGTTCAATTTTTTTTCAACGTCCTCCAACAACTATTATAATAAAGATGGAACTTATGTGCATAATTAAAACTGTTCTTCAAAAACAGATCTTCAAATAAAATCATGTTCAATTTTTCCAAAATATGAACATAAGTAACACTGTTGAGGCTGCGAAATATTGCGTAGGTGATTGGGAGAGCATTAACAGAAACTGCGAGGAGAAGTTTTATGCATCGCCTTCTGTGTTCTCATCAGACGAGAGAATTCTGAAAAGAGCGACACGTAATTGTCAAAGAATATTACCTTGCCGTAATAATAAATGCGAATTGAAGAGATTATCGTGGTTACCTCTGTCTGGTCGAAAATAAACGTTCCCCTTACCAATTTCTCGACATTCATGCTTTCTGCTTTTTCGCTGGTTCAAAGAAACTACGTAATTGTTTGATGCCAACGTACCACCAACTTTCGCAAAACGCGAATTGCTTAGCTTCTCTACACGATCGCTACGAAAATGGTCGAGGCTCCTCTATTGTTTTATATAAGTCTATTACATTGTCTAATGAAAGTTTGTTTTTGTTGTTGAGTAAGAGCTTTAGTTGGATTAATTTTATTTTAGTGAGTTGTAACTTTTCGGGTTTAATTCAGTCCAAGATATTTGATAGTTTGGTTTTGTAAGATCCATGAGATTGTGTTATGAATAGGAAGTGGGGAAGGGGTGGAAAATGGCTTGAGTGAGTGCGAGAGAGAGGTGTGCCGAGGTCGACGGTCAAGTTCGGAATGAGTTCGCAGTTTCTGCATCAGAGTAAATTAGAGTAACGGCAGAGCAAGTTACTAGTAAGCGTTGTTGAAATTAAGGGTGTTGCAAGCTGAAGGATTTTGATTTCGTAAATCTGTTTACTTGAGAGTGCAATATTCTGCATTAACCTAAATGCAAACATAAAACATTAGTCTTAACCTAATTCCATAATTCAGGTTAGGAGGTGAAACAAATATTCTGACTACTCTTCCTATTAAACGAGGTGTCAGTCCGTAAGCGAAAATTGTTAATCAATAGAGACAAGTTTCTTTATTTTAATTCCTGCCGTGTATAACAATTAACTGTCGGACACAGCTAACATTCCTTCCCTTAAGTGAGCATGAGGATCACTGTCCAAAATCACGTGTGTTGGGCCAGAGAGGAAAGACTGGGTCAATGACCCCTGGGTGAATGACAGAGAGAAAGGTTCTGGGTCAATGACAACATCTCGAGGTTTTCCACCAGTTTCCCTGATCCTTGAGCAAATGCTGAGATGGCCCTTTGTTTTGCTTCTGGACATAAATGTAACTTCAATGTAACTTCTCCCCATAGCACGTCACACACAGTTTTTGACTGTTCTTGACGTAAATAAATAAATTAAATAAATAAAGATGCATAACAACAAATAAAATAAAATAGAAAATAAAATGCAGTCTATAGGAATGCTAACAGAATATCTTGATGTAAGATATGAACTAAATATAGCGTGTTACTGTTGTTATCGCCTTGTGTTCCGCCGTTGGTTGCGAAGTGTGGTCAGCTGCAAGAAGAACAGGAAGTCGCCAAGGACTCATATCACCCATTCTAGCCGTTTTTTAAAAAGAAATGTGCAATCATATTAGAGTTTTGTTTGTTTTCGTAGCTTGCGTAAAGCTCCCTATGAACAAAATATGAAAGAAGTGAAATGTTATTTGGGTTGATTGGGTTGATTGACCACTAAGAGGTGAATGAAGAAAAGAAGCGGAATTTTTAATTTGCCGAACTTCTTATTTTCACTAACCAATAAACAACCCAAATTAATACACACATTACAATGTAACCAAAAAAAGTATCAATACACTCTAGAAACGTTTGTCCGCATAACCACCCCATCACACATTGTTCTTGAAACTTATTTTAAAAAATACTTACAAAAATTCTTGCGTGCAAATATTGGCGCGATATCTTGTTTTCCTTCTTCGTCCAGTTGGTCAGGTTTTGCAAAGTAAGACGCAATCTGACCGATATTAAAACCAAATAGTCAAGCAGCGTGACTAGCAAGAGAACGTCCGTGGATTTTTCGCCGCATGCTCTCGTCGCAGGCTATAGATAGCAGCGACGCCATCAGCAGCAAAGCAGAGAGATAGCATAGTGAATGAAGCAGCCAGTACACGCCTCTGATGACACGTGGAAACTCTCGGTAAAAAAGTCCTTCTTCAAGGCTGTCGTTTCTGCGGTAGAAGTCGAAACAAATATCCCAGGAGGAGAAGAAGAAATGTAGAGTACCTCCGGTCTGAGACACCTGTTTGGCGTATTGATCCATAGAAGTTGACAGATGGAGTTCATCGAAAAGCAACCTTGCGTCTTCGTACGGAAACTCGGGATCGAAGATTTTGAGAGAGGTCTTGTCCGGCGACCAGAAGCCATGGGTGTCTTTTTCGCACCTCCAACGCCCTTCTTCATTCTTCAGCAGTTTCTTGTTCGGGCAGCATTTCAAGGCGCACTCCTTTTTACTGCAAGGCGCTCTAAACAGCATGTCGACGGGCCCCAGAGGCGGTGGTGCTGCGTCCACACAATAGGCCGCCTTCCTAAATTCTCTGCCGGGTTTAGACCTTACGATGTCATCTTCTCCAAAGAAAGCGATCGTGTTTATCCAGAGGTCCTCGGCTTCAATCACGGCTGGATCCCAAAAGATAGACGGACGATTCACGGACGTGGCCAGTCCGTTTCCGATGAAACTGTTACACTTCACGGCCTTGATGGTGTCCAGCGGGAGATCGGGCGGCAGCCAGCGCTGAGCCCACTCGCTGTTGAGAGGAGAGCGGACGATATCGGCCTCGTCGCTTTGAATGGTGTAATGACGACACCAAGGAGCTCTCACGCACCACGAACCATCTGCTACCAGCATCTCGTGTACGTCGCAGCACTTTCGCAATGTTGTCTTCTTGATCTG